GTCTAGCCTTCGCAGGGCTGGCCCGGTGCCAGCACCGCGTACCCCCCCTGTCTATGGGACGGGAGGCGTGCCAGCACCGGGAACGGTCGGCGGGCAACGCTCCCGGCCGCCAGCTCTAGTCGCAGTAACCTACTTGTCTCTCCCCAGTCTTCTTCCTGTATGTCTCACCTTCGATTCCTGCCCATGTCGCCAGACTACGAGGGTCAGTAGCTGGTTGGAAGATTGCAAACACACTTGCAATCCTCTTTTGTTATGATATAATGTGAACCCTATGAAAACACTCTTGTCTGTTACTAATTGATGTTCACGAAGTCTGCGAAGATGCTAGCTTTTAGTTATATTAGTTGCGCTGATATACTTCCTCTCTGAAAGTTTTGCTTTTCAAACTTGACCAAGAATTTTGTTTGCAAAATTAAAATATCACTTGTTCTAAATAAAGCATTTGAATTTAGTGTCTCAATAAATAAATGAATAAAATGGCGATTTTGAAACAAGGAAAAAAACTCGTTATATAGAACAATAGCGACTAAAAAAATTGTAGAAATGTTAAACAATTTTATTGCAAAATTAAAGCACGTAGATTAGACACCAAGTTTAAAAGATGTTCTTAAACTATTGAATATTATCTCTAAACTATTAATTAAACTAGCACCCATTTCAGTATTGTATTGACCTTTTAAATTACGTGTGTAATTTGATGAATATAATTGAAATTTTAACAGTGCTGTACAATAATTCTAATTCAAGCAATTTGTTTGTTTATTTGACAATTGTTTTTGATCAATTCTGGAAAAACAGGGAAATTGAAATTCAGAAATTGTACAGGAAAAAAGCGTCAAGAAACGGCTGATTTAAAAAGAAATATAATTAATAATAATAATAAAAAAATAAATTAAAGAAAGTCATTAGTCATGAACCAAATCCTAGTGGAAGAAAGAATGTATGGATCTGACATGCGTGAATAATAATAATAAGATGACGTGACCATCCCAATGATACGAGTGTGCATGAATATGTATCTACTTGGTTGTTCCGGGAGGACAGCGTCCTTAGGTACAGATGTTGACATTTCAGCCGGTCATTCTGAAAATGCACATTATCACTTTTGGTGCATGTATGCTTAACTGTGATCCTTAATGGTGAAGATGGCCTTGACACTCCATTTTTTAATTTGTTTTGATCAACCCGTGTCATTTTATTGTTCCGTTTGTTTTGATTAATTGTCAAATGTTTGTGCTTTCCACTATTATTCTGTTAAGAAAAAGATGATTGTGACACACATCACTTGAACACTAAGAGTTAATGTTCAATCTATTTCTTAAAAAAATAAGAAGACCATCTTTTGCAAGTTGTTGTATTATTATTTCAAAACCTGGTGCTTCATAAAATCCGCTTGCTAGGATAATAAATTGTAAATGTTCACAATAGAGAGACTTTCAAAATTTTGTAGTTGGTTACATTACCGGTTAATGAAAATTGTAAAGCATAATTACTCTTGTTATAAACTCTTTATTCTTACGTTAAGTAGCATTTGCTTTCTTGATAAGATTGATGGGGTTAATAATACTAAAACGGTTATTTCACTTGCAGTTATGTGTCAAAATCTTTTTCAAGGGATACATTTTTTATGTTTAATTGTTAATAACATATTCACTTATTTTAAATTATTCTTGAATGCCCTAAATGTAATCTTTGTGATGTCTCACTTCTTTCAAAAATTTCTGTTCACGTTTTGTCCTTCCAATTGCTGCTGGTCATCAGAATTCTATTCTTTCTTCTGATCTTGTGGCTCCCTAAGTCCCAAAACCAGTGTTGGCCATTAATCATCAGTTTTGCATGATCAAGATTATAGTTTGTATTATTTTAAATAAAAAAACAAACAAAATAACTATGTCTTAAGATATCACTGTTATTTTTAAACAGTTTGAATTCAAGAAGAGTTTTTCAATGAAAAGACATATAGTCATAGGGGAACATTTGGCTATTAACTGATTAACGTGCCACCTGATACCTTATTGCTCATGGGTTCTTCACAATGTATTGGGAATCCCTTCAGAGTGAATGATGTGGGGTATGGGGATGTGAAGTCTCATGTCTGCCAGTCTGCATCTTTCGGTTATCCAATTTTTCATTTTCCAATTTTTTTACTCTCAATCAGTATTACGGCTTATCCATTTATATTGCTATACATGCAATTTCTGAAAAATGCCTGTACTGTTTGTTAAGTTAAAATATTACATTAAGTCTTTTCCACAGTCATTTCTTTTATTTGGGTACTGCTAGCCTGTGTTTTTACACACTTTTTTTTTTGTAGCAGCTTTACTTGAATTCCAAGTATGCAGTTTTAGACATTCGCTTAACACTTTTAAATTTATTTGTATAGGTCTTGCACATAAAGAAACATCATTTATATATCTTTTCATGCTTAATGGTAGCCTTGACATTTTTTGTATTGTTTGCACTGAGATTTTTGTGTTGTTTCTAAATGATTGTGTAATAGTCGTTGTTTGTGTTGTTTTGCCTATAGGAGGCCTATTTTTTTATGCAATATTAATGTTAAGTATTATTAAAAATCTTTCATAACTTTGGTTACCTGATGCCAACAATTCATTTTTCTTACTCTTCGCAGTTTATTAAAATTCTTCTGGAAGCTATATGAAAATTAATTGAAGTTTAGTACAGCCTCTAATGGAAATACAAGGAAATTCAATTGTGTGGCTTTCAAGACGTGTAGATGGAAAAAATGGTGAAATTATTTACGTATGCTCTGCAATTTATTCTGATAATGCTTCTTCGTTGGAAAAAACGTACTAGAAATTGATAATTATTGTCACAATTAATGGAAATTATTCTCAATTTTACTCTTGATATTTGCATTTCTAACAGTAGTTTGTTGAACCTTCATTTCAAATTTTTATTGGCTTTCTTTTCTATAGTGGGTTCCCCTGCCTCATTGCTGTTCTGCTTTTGTATCTGCAGTTCGACTGCCTGCAGGGCGTAGCGTTGTGACAGCTTGCCATCGCGTGCACGCACAAACTACGAGCGCGCCATCCGCAGCCTCCTCCACATGCTTTGCCAACCCCATAGCCCCTCGCTGGCACACACTTGCTCCAAAGCCACTGCGTGCGTGCGTCCGCATTCAATGTACACACGTGTGTCTATACTCTTCCTCCTGTTAGATCAAGCCAGTAGGTCAGTTGAAATAAAGCTCTTTTCAGGGGTAAATGGTAAAAACATATTATATTGTCTACAAAAGTTTTTTGTGATTTGTACTATGAGCCAGTGTGAAAACTATGTTGTGTGAGTGACATTTAACCCATTAAGCTGGCCCTTAAATAACGCGTGCCCGGCCCTTGCTGATTTTGTGAATAATAACTTTTTTGAACCCTCCCAGATTAATAAATAAGCTCAAGTCAAAATAAATTCACTACCTTCAACGAAATTTTTAACCAAATGTTGCAGTTTTCACAACACTGGTAACATTTTCATAGGTAGAGCACCAAACCTTGTCGTAACCAAAATGTGTTCATTGCACCAATTTGGGTCTTATTTTTTTAAAACATTCCTAAATGATATCTTCCTTTAATAATAAAACAAAATAATAATAATTAATAATAATAATATAATAATATAATAATAATAATAATAATAATAATAATAATAATCTTTAATCATGAATTTGTATAATATTATAATTAGTAATTTTCGTTTTAAAAATACATAATTTCAATGATTAGCGTTCACTCGATTTCAGAATAAGAAGCTTCTTGCTTTAGGTTTGCTCTCTATTTAGAGATTATTAATTTAGGTGAACATGGAAATCAAAATGAACTAAGTTGAAACACATGGACCCAAATTTACAGCAAGCTTGTTAGAATGGTATAATCACTCATAAGCTCTGGCCCATAACGGTGTTTGCCCTAATGGTCATCAACCATAGGTTAATGTTATTAGTGAATAAAACAGTAAAACTTCACTTCTATGTTTTCAGTGAACTGAGGGGAAAAAAAGTATATGCAGAAAAACGCGTAAAACTGAATTGATATTTTATGAGCCAAAATAAAACTCAAAAATTTTTACACTACTGTTTATTTAGAAAACGATGGGTACTATAAAAGAAGCGACACTTGCTGCAGATGTGAACCCAAATCCCCCTACCTATCAGAAATGCTTTCTCATTGCTGACCTGAATTACATTCTATCCTTACATGCTTTTCAAGTGTTCGTAGCGCTTGGCTAGAAAATGTGCTCTAATCTTCTTGAATAGCAGAATGTGAATTATTTGTCAAGAGCCCACAGATTTGAAAAAATGTGGATAGCAAAAGTTTTTTTAAAGGGGGTGGCCAAAGGCGCAGCACAATTTTTATTTATAACGGAAATTGCATAATAATTGAAATAGGACAACAAAAAATCTTAATTTGGGAACGTGACATCAAGGAACATTAGGAAATTTCAACCCAACTTTGTGGGCCACCTTATGCTGTGTGGTTATATTAATTGATTTTTATGGTGTAAAGTATTTTTGCATGTGACTAATTTTTATGCTTTGTTGCCAAAATTTGTAGGCTTTCTTAGTTATTTAGTTATTTGACACTTTTTAAATCAAGTCTTTTAAAAGATATATTGTGTCTTATTATTATCTGCTAAGTTTTTGTATGTTATTTTAAATGGGATATGTGAATCTTTAATGCACTTTTTGAAAGATTGCCTAAACAACATTTGCTAAAATTTATTACATTGGACAAAAAGCGTGACATGAAATAACTGTTTTTGTTCGTGGGTAATGGTGTGGCTTTTATCCAAAATACAAGTTTAACAAAAGGCAAAATGCATGTGACTTTACTTAGTCCTCATGATAACACGTTTGCTTTGAAATTTTCTGAATTTTTCTGTGGCAGACTTTTCTCTGAACAGTGTTAATAACAACTTTTGATACAGCAGAATTTCATAATTTAGTATTGAAGTAGGTTAAGGGTAAGAGCCTTGCCATGTTGTTGCAGCCCTGCTTCTGGAGCTTGTTCCACGGACTCCACAGGGTCGTCGTTGAGCATAGATGATCCATCAGCCAATGCATGGACCGAGGAGGGCATGGTTGAGTTGGGCCGCTACAGCACCTCCCTCACGCCTGATGAGCCAGCCATCATGGAAGTGGAAGAGTATGCCCAGTGGCCAGGCCCTGGCTCTGATGGTGAGTGTTCCTTCCTCTTGCTCTGGCTTTTGACTTGTGCCCCCATCTTTCTTCCTCTTGTTTTATTTTTTCCTCCTCATCCTCCTACTCCCTTTTACTCTTCTTCTTTTTCTTCTTCTTCTTCTTTTTCTTCTTCTTCTTTTTCTTTTTCTTCTTCTTTTTCTTTTTCTTCTTCCTCTTTTTCCTCTTTTTCTTTTTCTTCTTCCTCTTTTTCCTCTTTTTCTTCTTTTTTTTCTTCTTCTTCATCTCTACATTTACACAAAACTAGAGTCTCTTCAGGTTTTTCAGGTTGTGTGGAATGTTGGTCCTTTCATTGCAAGTTTTCGCTAAGTTGAAATATCTTCCTCAAATCAGGGAGGGGAAGCAAACAATTTAGCCACAGTCATGCAATGGTCAGATACAGTTGATAAATATCTTTGCAAATTTGATTCTGCTGTAGAGATCAGGTTGATGAACACTGGAAAACTTGAACATTGGAAAAGTATAAAACTCTATATTTTTTTTCTCAATAGGCAATGCTGATGGCAATTACATGCCAATGGACCGCAGCCAGCCATCGTTGTCATTGCCCATCCAGTCCGCAGCTGCTGTGAATACAGTCACTGCTCCTCACAGGAAAATCTCTCCTAATCTCAGCAGTAGTGGTTTCAAGTCAGGGTCTCCGTCACAGGTGAGTGTAGAGTTGTATTCGCCAAAAATGAAATTAGATCAAATGTTAGTTTTCAGTGGGAATATGTGAGAGAATTACACAATTCTGCAATAGTTCTGACCAACTTCTCATGTCTAACTTTCATAGTTTCATGCTTACCGCAATGATGATATGTTAATTATTGTCAGGGATTCAATTTCCTACATTTATTCAACCAAGTCTGGGATATATACTCATTTTCTAATCTACTTCAATTTAATATCAATTTTTCTCACAACTTGAGGTAAAATATCCGATAACTCTTATGAACATTGTTTAAAAGCCAAATATGTTTCTGAAAAATATTATCTGTCATTACAAATACGTGCTTCATAAAAATTAAGTAATTTTTACTCTCTGAAACTAATCCTTATCTGAAAATTTGCTATATAGATTTTCGTGTTTATATTTTTATTATAAAAAGTGCATTTTTAATAAAGAAAAGGAGTTGAGCAGCAAAAAAGTTATGATGTCGCTGTAGTAGTGTGTGTGTGTATGATAATGTGCTGTGTGCTGAGAGAGAAGAGAGAGAGAGAGAGATAGGTGTTGTGCTGAGAGTGTTTATATACAATTTCCGAGTTGTGTGTTAATATATGTCTGAGAGTGTGTAATATGTGTCAGAGAGGGTATGGTGCAGGGCCTTATAACTCCCATATAAAGTGTAGTGGAAACCATTTCAGTGGCATGCTCTGCGCCTTATTGCAGGAACTAAAATACGAACTGCTGCAAACAATATTGAAAATGTGTGGCAGCTGCGTGAGTTCATGTGTCTCAAGCAGGTTCATAATGTTACAAAAGATAGCACCGATGGTCGAGCATTCTTCAGGGGTCAGGGGTTTCTTATATTGCATATAAAGAATAATTAAACATTTGAAAGCCACTTTTCTTATTTTCAACAAATTAGTCAATTTTTATGCGCAGAAGTTGGCGAGCCTAACTTACAGCTGTACCTGGCGACACTAGCGCCTTTTAGAGTAGCACCCTTGAACATTGTCCCCTGTTTCGATGGAGAGTTGCGAGGCCTTGGTATGGTGTTTGTGTCAGTGAGTGAATGATGTGTGTGTGTGTGTGGTGTATGGTTGTGTGAGAGAGAGTGTGGGTGTATGTGTGAAGGAGAGTGAGGCTGGGTATGTGTGCTTGGATGTGCGGGTGAGAAAGGAAATATACTTTTCTTCTGTGAATTCCAACCAAATCCATGTGTTGTTTCAGGGGTCATACATGGAGATGTATAGCCCCTGTGGATCTTCGCCCATGGAGAACACTGGTTATATGGCTATGAGTCCAGGTACATATTTTAATTGTTTTGTGTATCTGCAATTGATTACGTTGTGTATCTGCAATTGATCACAGCCAATGTTGGGTACAGAAAGGGGAAAACTGCATTGAATAGTGTTCTGCTTCTATGGCAGGTCATCATTTACTTACCCTTCAGTTCTCTGTATTGTCAGTCATTCTTTTCATTTGTTTTCACCTAGTTTCCTTTATTCCATTTCCCTATCGGACAAATATGTAGAATGAAACATTGAAATATGTACATAAATATGTTAGGAAAGCGGTAAGAATAAGTAATAAATATGTAATCTTAAAATATCTGACTTATATTATCTGACAAAATATGTAATATTTAAATTACACTAAAGTATAAATTGCAATTTTCATTGAAGTATGAAAGATTATAAGAAAAAAATTCCAATAATTTAAAGAATAACAAACACATCTGTCAATTATGTACTAAATATTGTTTAAAAGTGCTGATGAAAAAATTGGATTTTGTGTTACGACGCAATGTGATTCCCATGATTACCAAGTTTTGAGAAACTTGTAAGAAGTAGATAGAACAAAACATGTAAGTGCATAAAGAAATGCTGTCTGTAGTTATCACAGTGAAATTGGGTCGTGTTCCGTTGTCTCTCTCAATTCTTTTGCAAACAATCCTAATTAGATACTCCTCAACAATGTCTCTATCTGTTTCTGTCTTTTCACTGTTATCTTTAATTTTCCTTTCACTCTAAACATATTACTTATCCTTACTGCTTCACATCCTTGATTCTTTTAACCTCCCCCTGTCTTCATTGCAGTATATTTTTATGCCCCTTTAAATTACTCTCCTCCACGATATGTAACTCTTGACTCAATTTCTGGGCTCACCACTTGCGTTGAGCCAGCTTGCTTTACACGAGTGATATTTTTAATACTGCTTATCTACAAATCTAAGAAAATACTTTTTCCTCAATATACAGCTGAAAAACATAGGGTCATCTTGCAATTGCGACATATGGTGTAGATTAAATTTTTTCTGTACCGCAATATTTCCAGCTTTCCTCAAGCCTATCTATTAAGCATGTTCGCATTTGTTGCGAGAATTATTGTGCATTAGCATTTAGTGATTGTTGTGGTGAACATTTCTTGTAGATTCCACTAATGAATTTCACAGTAAAGAGTTCAAATATCTTACTAAAAATGTGATACATAGAAGTAATCTTAAATTCATTTTACGGATACCTACACATAACGAATCGTAGTGTTGAGCAGTAAGGTTCAACCCACAACTTTGCATAAGGGTGCTGGCCCTACTAAGATGCAAACTTCAAAATGATTCTTATTCACCATGCTGAAGTAACAAACAATTGTGCAGCATCGATGAAAAATGGTGTCATATATGTTAATGTTCAGAGGTGGCGAATGGACAAAGAACAGCTTAGCATTGCCTATTTAACTCGGAAACCTTTTAGTGTCCCAGGTAGTGGGCATTTCAAATATATTGAAAGGGAAGTGGTGGCAAGGAATTGTTGTTTACCACGATGACATAAAAGTACAAGCATGTAAAATGGCACAAGCATAATATCAATTTTGAAGCCCGCTCGAGGGGGGGGGGTACAAGGAAGATACGATGCAGCTTTGCTCAATTCACAAATATTTACTCTTCTTCTCTCGAACTTGTAAACATCTTTGATTTTCATTTGAATACCATGGTATGTTCAGGCAATTACTCCCACCATTTTTGACATTACAAACAAACAGTGTCACAATCATAATTTGGCTGTTGTGGTTTATTTTGTTAAAATACATTGTTTAGAAATTAGTAATACTAGTATTTTTTCATTTAATTTTTATCTAGACCCATTTTAATGAGGATATGTTTGTTCAGAAACGTTCTAATGGCCTCAAGAACAGGCTCTTTCATTGGGCGTTTTCTGTAAATGTAATTAATTTGTGATTAATGTATCTTTTCTCAGAAACTATTATACTCTGGTAAATTCATATTTACTGGTTACACTCTTCATAGTATTGGCAATGTATCAATAGTTTTATACAACAAAAACATACAAAAAACAATATTAAAAACAAAGTTTGTGCAAAAATGCTGAAGAAAATGGACCTAAAAGTAAAATTAGAAAAATAATACTAAATATTTTGCCAGTAACATCCAGAAATACTGAAATGATAACAAAACCTGTATATTTAAATGTTGGAAATATGAAACATTTATAATTAATTATTTTCTAGAAAAAGATACATCAAAAATCAGAAGTTAAATATTTGCCAAATACAAAGTAATCTCCCCCATCAACTAATAATAATTATTATTAAAGTAAAGACAGTTTTAAGTGTGTCATGGTAACTGAATTGTCAACCACTAAGCCTTCATATGAACAATTGTGATTAGTATACTCTTTTTCTCTGACCAATGCACATGACATTATATGTCAATGGTTTACATTCAAGAACATATTATTTACGCTGTATAATAAAAAGCATTGTGCCAGAGCAATACTCTCAGAATGCTAAAGTTACGCTGCCTGGTGGGAAAGAACTTTTTCAAATGTGGCTTACTGTCTTGCAGGTGGAGGAGGGAGTGTGCCATCGGATGCCACCCCTCGAATGCAGATCTACTCCCGTGCTGCTAGCTCTGCCAATCACAGTAGAGGAAGCAGCTTAGCTGAAGATGGTTATGTCCCAATGGGCCCAACTCTCACTGATGACGGATATGTTGACATGGACCCCATGAACCCTTCTCATGGACATGAACGTAAGTACTTTGATTATTTCTTACTTTCTTGCGTGCTACTTATATAGTATAGAGAAAGTGTTGTAATGCTGCAGCAGAAAACTGTAATTTTTCAACAGAAGAACTTAAGAATTGTGGGTCCCTGATTCCAAAAAATGGATAATTCTTTCTCTTATCTGTAGTAACTTTTTATAATATATTGGGTTGTAAGAATCCACACTTTGTGGATCCTTGATACCAAATAAAATTGGTTAATGGCAAAATGTCTGTCTGTCTGCCTCCCTATGAACAATGCTAGTAGGTAACCATATGAAGTATTTTTATCAAAATTCATATTCTGTTATCATTCTTTCTGATATCGTGGCCCTCTGATTTTGAAATGGATATTTTGATTTTTTCCAACATTTTAAAAATTTCATCAAAAATGCAACAGAACCTATTTTTGTTGAAATCTCTGAATTAATAAAAAATTGTAATAATGTGAAATATTTTTGCCATATTCCTACATTTTCAATATTGAATATAAAGATATTTGTGTAAAAAAATATCTGTTCTTCAAAAATGGAGTATAAAAAAGATCATATATAATTTTTTTTTTTTTAATTAGTGTGCAATAAAAGCAATTTTGAAAACAAGATTGTCCAAGAAACGCTCGAAATAGTTTCTTAAATTTTCTTTCTGGGGTAGTGCAAAATAAGCCTATAAAAAAAGGCACAGGTTTAATTTTTAGCAAATTCTGAGAATTGCAAAAGTTATGAATAATGAGCTTGTGCTGTAGCATCACTAGTGTCTTTTTATAATGGACAGTACCTAATTGACTGATTTACAAGTAGAAACAGAATTGATGAAAAATGTATAACTAAACAAATTACTTGCAAACTAATAATACAAATTTAACAATATTTTAGAAAAACATTGCTTAATTTTATGATCTATTTATTATACAACTAGCAATTTATCCAATAAATGCTTTTTCAATCAACCACAGAAGAATTTATTACTAATTATTTTTGCCATTACGCCTTTATTATCATGGTTTATGCCACTACCTTCTTTACCGTCGTTTATTTTATTGTCGTTTGGTTTAATTTTTGGTCTTCCTCCCATACTGTGATGTCCGCTTGACTTTTTAGGCTCCTCTGAAAGTTTTAGGAATTGAATGTATGTGCTTAGTTTTTCAAGTGGCATTTTAAGGGACATCGGTAATTATTTTGGTGAAACAAGTTTGTAAACCCTTACTATTTTTTGAAAATTTGGTTTATGTTCATTGAAATTAAATGAAAAATAAGTAAAAGTGCTAATTTTTATATTTTATTGAAATACTTGAATATATTAAAAAAAGTACAGGATAAAAAATCTGTGCAACAACAATATACATTTATCCAGAATCAGAATTTTCAATCATTGCATCCAAAGATACAATAACTTTAGAATGATTCTCTGAAAAGTCAAAAGTTTGAGGCATGCTTAACGTTAAAAACTGAAAACACATACGCCACCGTTGAGAACTCCGTCTAGCACTGCAAACTACTTCAAAAAGTAAGTGACAGTACCTTTTTGTTTTTGTTTTTCACAAAATACCTTTCACATCAATGGAGATATTCCTCAGTGCCCAGAACCAATATACAGTCGGGCATGAGAGTACAGAGAGAAGAGAACATGTACACCAGAGCTATGCTTGGGCATGGGACTGTTTTACATTAAGTATCGCCGGAGTATAGGTTGGGCTTGGGCTTCGGCTCAATGGGTTAACAGTTCCTTCATGTTCTTTATCAGAGTATACTTGAAATCTGCATAATTGATTGAGATGTGAACTGCGAACTCGTACATCTCTGTTCCTCCACTTTGTGGTAAAGTTGAAGAAAGCTGTAATTTTCCAATTTTGGTACATTTTTGCTTAGAAAATGTTTTTCATTCATTTCTTTGGTTGGATGTAGAATGTGATTGAACTTCGAATTTTTGAATTTTTTTATTTCTGTCCTACGTGAAACTCATATTCACACTCGCCAACTTCTACTGAGAGTCTGTGTGGCTGTGTCGATCGCCGTAGGCAAATTGTATAACAACATCTCTGCAACAAGTTTTATTCATTTTGATGTTGTGTTTCATTTGATACAATGTCATTTGTTAGAGATTATCTTTTTCCCAGCCCATTCAAAAATATCTCTGAATCGCCTGGAAAATTAGCAATGAATGGTGAGAATACAATTGTGAATATAATTACTTAGGTATTATAGATCGTTTGATATTTTTACATCTTTACAGCTTATTGTTACGTCAGCATTTACTAGTTTCATGACATGGAAAGACACCTAAAAAATCCTAACACTCTTGACTCAATCTGCAAATATAAGACAACCTCATATTTTTTGAATGAGATTTTTAGAAAAAAAGATATATTCCATTGTATTTTTGTAAATACAATAATGAAATGTTTGTTCCATTTTGTCTAATATTGTCAGTGCATAGATAGTGGTGAAATGTGTTCAGTTTCGTGAGGAAAAACACTGTCACTTGCATTCCGTTAACCAACAACATAGCAGATCATATTTTTTGGACTCATCGGGTGTGTTTAAATTTCAGACTTCCATCCAAGTGAGATGTCCCCAGCCAGCAGTTGTTCTATTACTTCTGGCACGCCCTCAACGGACCTCCGCTTCTCTGAATATCACCTTGAGAAAGTGAGCTCATATTTCACCCCTTCAGAAGAAGATGAAACATCATCCTTAGACCGGCCTATCCCCAGAGCATACTCTGTGGGCTCTCGTCCAGAGAATATGAAAAGGCCTATTAGGTAAGAAATAAGTCATGAGTCATGGCAACTTTTTTTATTCTTTTATTTTGTGAATACTATAATTGCAGGTGGCAAATGTGAAATATACACATGTCAGAACAAGGCATGAACTAAATGCATGAATATTAAATGCCATATCAAATTTGTATTTCCCATATTTATAAAGGAAATGACAGTATTGTTTTCATGTTTCAAAGCATTTTATCATACACGTGCCCACATGTCAAAAGCTTGGCATACCAGTTCTAAAGACCCAGTTAGATATTTGATTACTGCACATATCACATCAGTCTACACTCGCAATTTCACATCAAACACTCTCCTGCCCATTTCACGACTGTCCAGTATGGAAGGTCATTATTCCCAAGGATTTATTTTCTGAGCATTTCTCCCATGGAGAAAGACTGTCTGGGTGTTCGAGTGCTGCTCAAAACGGAATACCTTAATATTGCACGGTGTCAAATTTCACATTGTTCTCCGTGTTCAGAGAGACCCTTGTGGCCATCTGGTACAGCATATCTTTCACACAACAAATAAAATTGTGTTATCCAATATCACCTTTCTTTAAAAAAAACAACACATTTCTTAAAAATATATATATATATATATATATATATATATATATATATATATATATATATACTTATATACTAACATACTCAAACTTTTCCACATAAAGATTGAATTGATTCATATAGTAAATCAATATCGCTGGCATATGTAGGACATACCTGATTTAAGAATTCAGTACATTTACATAATTTGGATTTATCATATCATTTATCAAATGTACTGTTTAGTGATCCATTTGTGAGGAAAAACTCTTTTTATTATCTTTCATTACTGAAGATGTGTCCAAGAGCTAACAATTATTGATCTGAATTGCTTGATATATAAATTTAAATGTAATGCGAGAAACCTGATTTTGATTGATATCAATTCATGTTTCTAATCGAATTATATTCTTAGTATAATTGAGCATTTGCCTGTTTTGAATGTAAAATACTCTTGGATTTATCACATAATATGGACAATCAGAAAAAGTGGATGATAAGGATCTGTATCAAAAATTGGATTTAACTCCTCTACAAGCACAAGAAAAATTACAAAAATGTAGATGAAGCAATCTGTAGTACATTTTATATTGTGATCAACTGAAAAAATGTGTCTCTTTCAAAAGCAAGTTATTTTATTTAAACATTTTTAACAAGTACTTGACTATTACTATATTTACAAATTTCTGGGATTTTGAAATCCCCAAGTAGTAACAATTTTTTGCTCCAAAGCTTTCTAATAGACATTAAGTCGTCACACAACTTTGCAAAAATGTCTGCAGTTCAATATCAGAATATAACAGTCCAATCCAATCCAAATCAAATCATCTAAAATCAATATCATTGTTCTTTTTTAATGCCATAAAAACTCCTCCACGCCTATGTTTACATCTAACTACCTGATATTTATGAAGTAAATTATGGTTGGCTTGTTGAATTTATTGTCTAGTTTTGTGAGATTGTGTTTTTATCTTTAGTTAGTGTAGTCTTTAGTGAGTTTGTATCTTTTATCTTAGGTTGGAGAGCCAGGGCCAAGTGGTGGACCCGGTGTCACGAGTGCGTGCCTTCTCAGTGGGCAGCCGAGCCCCTCTCGGAGGTAAAAGCAGTGCCCTGGCGGGTCGTCCCCTGGTGCATGATCCTGTCTCCGGCTCCCGCCTCCTGCCCTCGGTGATGGGAGCCACGCTCACCCCTCCAAGTCACCATATCCTGCACTCGGTGATGGCTCCGTCGGTGTCGGTTGCCAGCAGTAAAAAATCCTCCAGTGCTCCTCTCTTATCGAATTCTTGGTCAGGTTCCGGGACCTCGTCGCTGCGCCACGGACCTCACAGCAGCCATTCGTCTGTGGAGCCGATGGATGACCTCATGGAGATGGATTTCACACGGGCATCAAAAAGCAGTGGCAAGAACTCTTCCTCCAAGTCAGCTGCATCCAGAAGCAAAGGAGATAACACGCTTCCTCCACATCATTCATCACCCTTTTCAGATAAATCAGCTGGAACACCCAGTGGGTACATGGACATGTCATCGAGATCGGTTGGTTCATCAAAACCCCATACTCCAACATGCGGCCCTTATCTGGAAATGAAACCTGGTCTCTCTGAAATGGTCTCGGCCTCTCCACCTGGCTCAAATGTAATGTCCAGGTCTCCAAAGTCTTCAATTCATTCTGGGCCTTATTTAGAAATGAAACCTGGTCTACCTCAAGAATCACCATTGGACAATGGGGACTTGCGGAATCAGAGTATTCCCATTACTGTACCTTCCAAACCTGTCAATACATCGATTTCTCCAAAGTCACATGTTGGCCCATATGTAGAAATGAAGGCTGGCAGTGCCATACAAGAGGTTCCCAGAAAAACATCTATATCTGCATCTCCTCCCACACGATATACTGTCGACACTTCTGCAATCTCAATGTCCTCAAAACCTTTTACGCCAGAAGAAGTTCCCTATGTGCCCATGAAACCTGTTTGCATTACGTCTGAAAGTTCCTTACCATTTTTCACCAAACCTATTCCAGTTCCCAGTGCAGGCCCTTATTTGGAGATGAAACCAGGAAGTGGGGGTGATCAGCCACAGAATTTGCCCCCAACAACGCATCGGTCTAGTATGACCCCAACAAATGTGTCTCCAAAATCATCATCGTTTAACGTTGGCCCGTATGTTGACATGACTCAACCTGCTTTCTCCGCCAGCTCGCAGTTTGCCAGGCAGGCTGCAAGGAAACCTGCCTCACCCATTCAAGAGGAGTATGTGGACATGAGTGTCAAACCTGTAAGGAAGACATCAAGGCAGGAAAACGCTGTCGCTGTCGTTGGCTCATCCGTTGTGAACAGGACAGCTCCTGTGGACACTCCACAGCCCAAGAAGCCGCCGGAAGGTTACATGGAGATGTCTTGGAATCGTGGAAACAAATCATCTTCGCCAAAGTCATCTCTTGAAGATTACAAGTCTCCCCCTAGCAGTAGCCAAGATGATTATATGAATATGTCTTTTGAAGGTAGAGGCAGCCTGAACAAGCGCAAAGAGAGGCGCAATAGCCGTAAGGAGAAGACACGATACAGCTCTCAACCAATTGCTATTGGAGGCCCGCCAAAAGATAGTGGTGGGAAAACATCCTCAGCCTCCACTAGCCCTGTCTTTTCATTCATGGGGCGAAAGTGTTCAACAGGAACTCCTCCGAAAATCCCTGGCTTTCTCCCTCTGGCAGGTGGTGGGGCAGCAGGTAGTGCGAGCACGGCCTCTCCTGGAAGCAGCCCTTTCTCATCGCTACGCCGCACTCGAAAAGTAAGTACAGGCAGTCGGCGGGAAAGTGGTGATGCCAGCAGTGGTCTGACAACACCCACTGGTTCCACTACTATATTCCCTTTGAGTCTCAACAGCCCAGGATCCCCCATGAAACCATTTCCTGGAACTGCATCAGCTAGCACGACAAAACCACTTCTGCACAGTGTTCCTGGATCAGAAGCAGAGCCCTGTCATAAATGTCCTGTTGATGCTACCAGCGGCACTGTTCGCATATCATACTCCTATCCTGAGATGCAACTTTCGACATCATCAGCAGCATCTACTCCTGCTACACCTGACTCAAGCAGTTCCTCAGAACAACCCACCCCTGTCAATGCTGAGTCGATAGACGACATCACAAAAGTAGATGATTCTAGAAATCATGATTATGTGAACTACTGCCCCAGAAAAGGACTTCAATCTGGAACCACCTCAAGAGATGACGATTTTGGGGAATATGCTGTGATGAGACCAGTTCCAGTGGTTCGAGCCGGAACAAACGAACCTACCCGAAAAATATCGGCTCCAACATTTGGAGGGATGAACAGAAGATTCAATAATGTTCATCAAGGTATTGCTGGACTTACCCTCAGCTCCCCATCACTTAATTCCAGCAAGAATGTCAACGCTGCTCGTGAGGTTACACCTCCTATAACCCGCAAGGGTAGTTTCAACAGCCCACTTCCAGCTGCCTCACCATTATATAAAACCCACTCAAAATCTGTTGGGGGGACAAATGTTGAGACAGCAAATGGGCCAAAAGTAATAACCAGTGAAGTGTCTAGTTCTCTGAGCCGACAGCCATCAAATGCAAGTAGTTCTAGTAAAGCTTCCTGTTCCTCAAGGGAATCTAAGACTAGCCGGCAACTCTCTAGATCGAGTTCCGGATCCAGTGAAGTGGGTCGATGTCTGGAAGCCAGTCGCAGTGTTGAAGACAAAAGTGACGCTCAGTCAACAAGTGAAAGCTTATCAGTCAAAAGTGAAGATAGTGGTACAATTTCTCCAGCATCGAGTCAGACTGCTGTGGCCTCAAGGCCACCATCAGTCAGCAGCGAGCGTGAGTTGCATTACGCCTCCTTGGACTTGGCACCCTCAGGATCCGAAGGAGAAGAGGGTGCAAGGAGTCCGCGAACCTTGATGACGCAAGGTTCCTTGACGGAGTCTTCTAACTCTTCGCCCAGCCCCAATCCTGCCCTGGGCAGCACCGGAGGAGCGAACAGTGGCGAGGCCTTCACGTATGCAGAAATCGACTTCTCTCGCAGAGAGAGGTCACGTAGTTCTACATCAAGTAAGAAAGTCAAACAATGAACTAGAAGTTCCTTTTGTTTTAAACTACCTGCCAACAGGCTTTTGCTGAATGATTTTAGTCAAACAAATCATCTGCTTGGCCACATCAACAGGTTTCTGTTCCTCACTCTCAACCTCGGTCCTCAGAATACAGTATTTGGCAGCTTTGTTTCAATAACTTCAAAGCTAGCCATAGTTACACTTTGTATCTCTGGAAAATGAGAGTAATAGTTTGCAAGAATTGTCTTGAACCGTTCCCAGTGATCTAGGGGAATGAAAGTCTTGTGTTTACGCATAGTCAATTTACATTCTATGTAAGGGAATAAAAAAAATCAGTGTTGCGTGTTTGCATTTCTTTCCAAGTTAGCCACTTGCAGGCCATTGTACTAGGTACAACTGCATTCATGCCAATATTGTGGTATAAAAGCGTACATCATGGCAGCTTCATTATCTATTTATAAAATAGAAAAGTAAATTATATTATCCAAGAGGTCATTTTGTTAAGTTTGTTTTTGTTTTTCTTTCTGTATTTTTCATGGCTGTAGGATATATACCACTTAGATGAAGACACCCTTCCACCCTGAGACTCATCTGTTAGAGGTGCAATGAGCCAAATGTTAAAATGCATGTGGGATAAATGGGTTCTGGAGATCAGTCGCATTCAGATGAACGTGAAAAGATATTTCCATTTGTCCGTCACATTTGCATAAATGTGAAGTCTGCAAATTATTTGTAAAAGTAAATATTATTGCCAATAATTTATTTTCAGATGTATTTATGCTACTATCTACTTCATTTATTGTCTTAGACTGACCTATATTTCACTTTTATCACAACACAATTTTATATCACTGTTGGACATTTTTGTAGGTAAAAGTGTATATTTATGTGCACTCAAATATTTAGATCACATTGACTTCTGGGGTATTTGGTAGCTGTGATTATCCTTTTTTTATTGACGAATGCTTTATACTGTCTCCTTCCTTGTTTACATCTTTTAAATATATTATTTATTCCTTTTATTAAGTAAGTGCAAAATTAGTAAGATTTTTCATAAAATTAAAATTACAAAAAGCAGCTTAACAACTTTGCTCATGGATAAGAAATTCACTCAGCTTTGGTAGAAACCTTGGCCTATCTTGCTTCAGTGAATTCACACCATGGCGAGCAGACTCAGGAGTGCATACTTGAGGTATTGAAATGGGTTGTTTAATGTCACGTGATAGTAATTTTGTGAAAGTCCAATTGCAGTACTGAATGTAAAATGTGGTTATACAATATGGCTATGAAGTGATGATACTGCTCTTCAAATCAATATTATTATCACAAAACAAATACCATAAATAAATAACTGAATTAACCTTAGCATAAAATACAATGTTCGAAAGCAGACTGAAAGAACATAAACCAAAGACAATGGATTCCTGAATCCATTATGTGATGTATTCAGGGTAGTGTTTGTTGAGAACATGGACTACTAACTCGTGTCATTTATTTGCCCAAAAGCTATTACATTTACTGGTAGAACATGCTCCCCTGTCTCTGGTCTTCATGGTCCAACACAGGCCTCCCCTTCTCCTTTCCACCTCGCTCATCGAGGAGTGGTCACACTGTCTGTATTGCAACATAGTACAGCCAGGTTTGTTCAAAGCCTCCATATCTGCTAGCTTAATAACTGACTTGTACATTTGATGTACCACAAATGTGCCTTCCCTTTAGGAGTAATATTTGTTTAAAAGAAACAAAATGATCATTTAGTTGAGGTGTGTTTACACTTATTAAAAATTGAACTGATAGCTCTCTTTCTGAGTGGCCTCTCTGCTCCAGTAGCTGTTTACCCTAGATTTCCTCCCTGTTGGTGACTGAAATAAAAAAAAAAACAAAAGTCAGTGTTGTTGTAAGGTATGACGTCTAAGAAAGAAAAAAAAAGACGAAGAAAGAATCACTTTTGTTGTAGCTGCCTGTGTATTTTTATCTCAGGGAAGTCCCAAAGAGAATTGGAGATCCCTGTTGCCGCATCTTTGAGATTTCCTGCTTGTATCTTTCATCAGAACACTGCATTTGTTCATGATACACATTTTGTCGTATTTCTATATATGTGAAATTGTTACCCATTTGATTTGTATGATGATGTGGGTTTGGGAAATTCTGATGTCTGGACCCTTTTAACTTGGACACAAAAAGGTAGCATGCTGGACATCGCCTTTTAGTCAATGTGTGCATCTTTCTGCATGGGGTTTGTTTAAATGCTCCCTTGGTTATCGGAGTTAGTTGCAAGTGTGAGGGCTGGCCCCCTCATGAGCTTTTTGATAATATTTGTTTGAGAGCTTTTTTTAAATTTTTTTACTTGTTTCGACCAAATGAATCATAGAAAGGAGAAAAAAATTGTGTTGTTTACAAGTGCTAGTTTTCTGTACTTTTGTACAATAGGTGTCTATTCGACTTTTTACTGCTGTTGTTTACAGAAATTGAATAAGTGAGAAAACCCCAATTAGCTTGTTATTAAAAAAATATCAAAGGCCTATGTAAAGATACAGGTGTCAGAACACTTGTGAAATTTGTGTCAATACAACTCAGTATTTCACCCTTATGTTTTCCTTGCTTTTATATGCATCTGAGGGATTATTAGTTGGCATACATTCAGTGAGATAAATTCCCATCCTGTCATCGCAACTCATCTGGGCAGAATGAACGTTTAAATATTGTGCTGTGAAATACTGTAGCATTCTGCTAAGTTTTGAGTTCCTGGGCATTTAAACAATGTGAAATGTTGTTAATTCCATACTGTTCTGTAAATATGAAATGAACAAGTGGTGGCTGGCATTGTTATGTGATTTTTGTGAGTTATTGCTTCAAGAAGCATAATGTTTGGCTAAACTACAGGAATGTTTTTTTCCTGTGTCTAGTTGGTAAGTGCCATGGTTAAAATGACACTTGAATAGCAACATTTTCAGTGAAAGACTTAAAGTTTTAGATTAATAAGGTGTTTCAAGAGGGTGCTGTATTTGAGGTGTGCTTCCGTCATTCTCCTGACCTTTTATAAATATTTAAATTTTATAAAACTCCTTTTGAAAATTGGCATAATGTATTTTGAAGAAACTCTTGATGTTTTCAGAGATTCTTGTGACATTTTTTATATGTAAATAATATAACAAAATATTTGTGTATAAAAAGTGCCAAGTTAATTGCATTTTCGTGAACATTCATTGGATCTGTTGGTTGGCGCAGAAGTCAGTCAATTATGATGGCTATTATAAATTATTTTATTTCATATTTATAATTTAGAATGCTGATTTTAGTTTCTGTATTGCTTACTTTATCCACATAAATGAAATTATGTGCTCAGTGAAGTAAGTGAGGTCTAATTAAAATTAACTAATATTCCAACTAAACACTTTATTTCCAAGCTTTTATTTCTAAGTGTGAGCTTTTGGAGATTGCAATATCTACTGTATAAGGAATTTAAACAGCTTTTACCAAGCTGTAAATACCAATTGGCCTACTTAATCTACCCTTCCTCAATTCAGTTGTTGGAAAAACTTAAGCCTTTGACTTGTGAAACAGATTTTATGCTTGTTGAAATCTATTACTGTTACTGTTGTCTGTTAAGAAAAAAAAAAGAAAAGAAAAAAGAATTGCCTCGTGTCAACTCAAGCTGTTAGTTTTTGCTCAAATGCAAAAACACCTCGCATTATGCATTGCATCTTTCACTGCAATCAGTTACAGATGCAGAATATGACTAATCCTTGAAGTTATAATCAAGTGTAACTTTTTTTAAGGTTGCTTTTTAGCTACTTGGTCATACAGTGACCTCTGTGATTTTTAACATTGGGGTAACTGTAGGGGGAGCACATACGAACTACATGAACACAAATAAACATCCATGCCCGAAGCAGGATTCAAGCCCGCAACCCTTTGAACAGGGACAGCTACAGCCCTTACCCTTAGCAACCTCAGCTGTCCAGGCCGACCAAGTTTACGTTGTTTTGGCAATTTCAAACCCTATCACTTCATTTGAAATGTTATGCTCAGGACCTATCTCTCTCTCTCTTTTTCCTTTCTTTCTTTCTCCTCTTTCAGTTTGTCTTATTTTTCTTCCTTTCTTAAGACCATATTTATTATTACATTCCGGTTGCGTAGTTCTCATTGACTTTGTGTAGTTTTGCTACCAATGTTGTTCTTTAAACATTAGATCATTTTTCATTTTCTTTTGCTACATTTGTAGAACTCTTCAAAATAACTTTTGAATTGAGATTAGTAGAAGATTAATCAAAAGAATTGTAAATGATTTGACTGTTCAAAGAAACTTGCTTACATGTGGGAGATTTCATATTTGTTCACTATGTTGACTTGTAGCTTAATTGCGAATGTCCTGAATGTTTCACCTGAATATACCAGTGGCAAATTCCTGGAAGGAATTCTATTATGATTTTTACTCACATTTCTTACGTGATCACTCATGTTTCAGGATACATTAATTCAACGTATTTTTCTGATGGTAATTGTGATTTCAATTTAATATGTTATTTACTTAAAAAATGTTAATAAGAGGTTTCAAAGTTCACAACCTTCTTCAGTTCCTCTCCCAGATTAAACTTGATAACTGTATTGTTTGGGTCTCTTATTGTTGTTCTTTATCTAACCGTGAAGGTCAAGGTGTTGGTGTTAGAATTTATGTACATAAAAATGAACAAATCTGTATATTGAAGTTGCGATGTGTGTTTGATCCAGTGTTTACTGGTACAAAATATTGCTGGCTTCTGCGCCTTTGATACAGCACCCTCCTGAACAGTGTATAAGTCTTGCTGAATGTGGGCCAAGCACGTGCTGTCAGCTGCTTTGGCATTGCATTTATATACCTTCCCGGAGCTTAAAGATATATCAGATATTTAATATTACATACATACATAATATATATATCAAGCTGTCTTGGCAGTGAAATTCACTTGCAGCAGTGAAATTGTTGAAGGATTTCTTTGTGGTGTTAGTACTAAGTAGACTGCAAAGAATTCTCCTCATACTCTTTGTATAAAAAGCCCTTGTTACTGAAAAATGTTCTTGATATCTTGTATCTTACTGGGGGGATAGAAAAAAGATGTATGGTAGGTGTAAGTGTTGAAAATCTGTTGTGATTTGTGTTACCAGTTATTATAATATTATATTGTTACTACCATTAGAAACAACATACCTTAACTGTTACATGGAAGTGTTTATTTCCATCCAGCAGACTTGTTTTTGTTTTCTGTTTGAAGTCCATGTACTGCCAGAAATACTGTGGACTTGAAAAATACTGAACTAAACTTATTATTTTATTAATCATCCTGGGTAACATTTTTTGTTAGAACATTTTATTTGTTTAAAAATGTTTATCATTATAAGTTCTAGGACTGTACATGTTATTCCTATTTTTGTGTATATTTTCCAAGTACTGTACAGTTTAGAAAGGCTGCTCTTAATAAATATACAAAGCTGAGTATATCACTTTTTAAATGTGTGTTTATCTCTATTACTCACAACCCTTGGTGTTCGTGAACCATAATCCTATCCTGTTCAGAATTTTATTCTCTGTTTCAGTTTGTCAAGTGTCTGAGACAATGTCAGTAGTCAGTGAAGGGGATGTGTATATAATATTCCATCTTCAAATTTTTTGTCTTATCCATCATCTCTCTGTGCTTTCACTTTCCATTGACTTCTTGGCTCATCTCTTAGTACAGCTGTATCTAGAGTTGCTTATCGCACGGGAGAATAATTCTGTGCTAATATGGCAGAATGATGTAAGTTACTGTTTCATGACATGTACAAAATGACGTGCCACTGTTGTGTGTTAAATGTAGGCAAATGGTGCATTTCTTTTAGTAGTTTGTGAAAACAATGGTGCCAATTGCAATAAGACAAAAGCCACAGAGTAATTTTTTATGACATTTTGATGCATAAAATTGCTGTCATTGAAAATTTTTAAAAAGTTACTTATATTTTGCCAACTTGGCACAAAATTTGTTTCAGACAGTGATCTCTATACTAAGTACACAGATCAATGGGGGCCTAGAGTTTTTGTTTGTTACCTTCCTTTATTTGGCAAAATTGATTTAAATATTTATTTATGTTAGAATGATGAAATTATTTAAAAAATAACATTGTATAGTAACTCTACAAAAATAATACTCAATATATTAAATGTTTATTATCTAACAAAAATCTATGATGACTCCCTCCAAAATTATTGACTGGATCTGCCGCTGTACAGATCTCTGGTTTAAGATATAGCAGTAGACGATTCTCATGCTTTCTCTGAAGTTTCTTTAATGTGCAAGTTGCACATTATGAATCGGGGATCACAGGGTCACTGATTCCTGTAAAAGCAGATAAAATCTGCGAAACACAGAGAAATCTAAATTCAGAAATTAGTAAACTGAAGAGCAGGAAATATTACCGCTTTCATTTTCTCATGTATTGATTTCACATTATAGAAAGCAAATTCTCAAAACTATTGTAATGCTGAGGGGGAAAGACAGCGATTTTTTGACAGACAAACTCTTATTGTCGCTCCCTGGTGATGAGGAAGTGGGTAAATCTTGTTGCTCAATGTAGTAAATTACTTCCTCTAACATGCTGAGTAGTCAGAATCTGTGTTTTGTCTTTGATACTGGAAAACTTATCGGCATCAAAATGTCTCTGTCCAACTGACCGACAATTTGTTTTTGGTCATCATTTAACTCTAAACCGTTCCCACAATATTCTCTAAAAGGTTGTAGCTGGATAAGATGGTAAAAAGTGCCCCTACTTGAAATTGAAAATACAATTTTTCCTAAGAATTGTGACCATGAAAATCATTTTTTCATGAACTTTCAGATTCCACCCTTCTGCACATTCTTCACAATAACGAAAAATGTGTTGTTTTTTGTTGTTGGTGGTGGTGTTTTTATTTTATTTACTTTTTTTTTTTTCATTGAATTCACGAAAAGAATGATTCATTTAAGATAATGATTCTTGATGTGAAATTAACTCAATTTAAAAAAAAAAATTCTTGATGTGGAATTCAAACTTTTAAATGGATTTTAAAATTTGGTATATTTTTGAAGCAAGTTTTAGCTCAGCCGGGTGCATGAGAAAATTCTCAAACGAGAGCGTAGGCTTCCGCGGCCGGAGTCAGTATTTACTAGGCTGTCCGGGTGACGCCCGGACAGCCTAGTAAATACTAAATTCTCAAACGTTGCCCTAAGAATCAGCTTTTATCTGGAAATTTTTTCAGACTTTTTAGATGGATGCGCCATGTTAAAAAAAAATTAAAAATATATGTTTTTGTCCTGTAAAGAACTTACAAATTAATGAATGTTATTCAAAGCGCAGAGCTTAGACTCAGACCATATCGACAGGGATTTCTTCAATTTGGAAAAAATCCTACTTATGGTTTAGGCGCTAGTGTTGTTCACATACACTAAGTAGACGGACGGACTTTTTTTTGGGGGGGGGGACTACTTTTTCGGTATTGGGGTATTTACGTTGAAATCGCGAAATCGATTTTCCGCAGCATTACATAACTTTCTTTATACTACATTTATTACTCTGAGTATATGGGAAAGTAAAAAAGAAAAGGCACTTTCTATCGCATTTTATTACAAAGTAAAATAGTTGATGAAACTTATTTTAAATAAGTTCTCAAAGAAGTTTTTATCCACATTTAAACGGTCAAATACCGAAGACAAATAATTAATCATAATATTTGTTCTGATGCATATTTGTGTTTTTGTTTCCAATCCAACTCTGACACTTTTAAACATTGCCACATACTTGGAAATAAATTGAGGTGGCATTGTTTGATCCCTGCAGTGTGACGTTGACACTTTGCTTACTTTTTTTAAAAAAATAATAAAATCTGGAAGCTGTGACTTTTAAGATTTTGAAGAAACATTCTTTTGTGACGATTTAATTGTCAAAACAATAATTATTGTGAAGACTGATGGACAAAATAGATCATTATTATTATTATTATTTAATTTCATGACAGTAGGACTTATGAAATGTAAATAAATTGCTTACCCTTATTGATTTACGAATGGTTTCATGCAGGAAGTTTCCCAAGCGTAAAAAATCATTCTAAAAGTTATTTTTTTAATCTTTTATTGCATCAAGTAATTAAAATCTCTTGGAATCGCAAGATCTTCAGTCCAGAAGTAGGCCCTTTTAGACCTGAGCCGCCCGCATTGCGAGCCCATACGTTACCCCACTGTACTTTAAGTAGCGATACGACATTGACAACAAAATATGAATGTTAATGAATCGACCAAAATCCATGGACGTTTTAAAGCTAGTTTACTAACATCAAACATTAAATTCGAGCGTAACAAAATTTAATTTGGCATTGATTAAAATTTAACTGAAAACCAAGTTAATTGACGCCTCTCTCTGCGAAATACGAGTAAGGACCAAGAAAATATACCAGGAATTCAGGCCATGCCAGATCATCTTGGGCGTGGGATAGTCTGCTCGATGAATGTAGCGCAAATGGCGTTCGTGTGGTTCCATGTACGTACAGTGGTACCATCAGTTATTTCATATTATAACTTTTACAAAATTTTTATTAAGTTGTGATGGAAGTTTTTAACCACAAGTAAAACATTGAAAGCTCATCGAGATGAGTTTTGAAAACATCGGCATAGATGTCGTGTCCCTATATTGAAGTGATGGATCAGAACAGTTACAGAACTACCTGACTTGAAGTCTAGGGATGTCTAGAGAACCTTCAAAAAGCTATTTTCATTATTAATGGACCAAAAATTGAATAAAGACTTCAGCCTTCTTAAGCTATGCAAATGAAAAGCCTGGGGTTGGCCCCTTCGGGGTGCTATAAAAAATAATAATTCTTGAACAACTTTTCAATGCTTTAATAAAAACATATAAGATTTGTGATATTGTATTACAAAGTTACTTGTAACTATCATTTTCAACACAGCCTTACATTGTAGTTAATATTGTAAAATATTAATGAAGCTACCTTAGGATTATGATGAGATGGTACGAGTTTCATTACAAAAAAAATCTTGTTTTTTGTCATTACGTTATATGAGAAACACTTGTTCAAATTTACACATGAATTCTCATCTGAGCGATTAGAAAAGCATACATCCGAATCGAATCCATATCTAGAATGTTATGTTGTATTTAGCGATCTTGGCGCCTTCTCTTTCTAAGGAATCTTAATCCAACTTTTTTTTTTTTTTTTTTTTTTGCAAAATAATCCAAAACCGTTAAATTTTGGCTGGGATTCTGGCGTTAATGAGCTATTCTTGCTTATAAAAAACCTTTCATGGAGGCTGCCGCAAGTTTTCGACGAAATACCTCATATCTCCTGGCTCAGTTCCAGTACTGTAGTAGCCTTGTACCTTACTAATGTTGAGCCTCTGCCAAAGCTTTCCGTAGTGTCTTGGATCCCTTGCTTGTTAGTTGAGCGTTGATGATTCAATGCTCTTTATACGAAGTTCAAAATGTCTTTGCTGACTCTTAAAGAATGTAAAAAAAAAAGTAAGTTAATTCCCATTGTATACCTTGAAAAGCAATTTAAAATGAATGATGTTTTGGGGTCTACGCAATTCTCTCTAAAGAACCCCACTTTATGCAGGGTCGGCCACGAATCTCGAACCGCTTGTTTTTTCTGTCTCTAAATGCTCTCCTAGGTGTTATGTCTTGCTGGAACGAAGGCTGTACCCCGAATTTTGAGGTTTATACGTCTTTTTTTATTAAGAAAAACAGGCAGCCGAAGTCACTAAAAGTGGGCTCTGGAGTGTGTGAATTTTCATTGACTCATACACACAAATTGAGATCTTTCATGTTATAGATTTGGAGGGGGGTTAAACGATTCGTGGCTCCAAGGCTGGGAAATACCAAACCATCATCCACATTACGACGATCACTGCACGTTCCTCCCCTAGGTGTCAGCATTATGGTGCTAGGGAGACAACCATATCCCAAATTCAGAGGTTGATTATTCTTGCAGAAAACAAAAGACTTTAAAAGACAGATAGTCCTTGCCACTAACACTTACACACGCACTGCCGAATCCGTCGTTCGCCCAGCGATGACGCCATTTTTTTCTTCGCAAGTTGCATGTCTAAGTGGGGCCTCGTACTTGCCAGCAGTCGCCAGTACTCGCCTCCTACTTCTTAAAACCAGGATTTCTAATTTTATATTTTTTGAAGGCACATGGTACTAAAACGTGGACGATGAGATTTTCGACACGATGCACTTCTGGGGACTTCAAGGCTGTCGAACCCTTCGTCTGCCCAGCGATGACACCTATTTTTTATTCGCAAGTCGCTTGCCTAGGTGTGGCCTTTGCTTGCCACCAATCATCGCCTCCTACTTCTTAAAAACAAGATTTCCAATTTTATATTTTTTCAAGACAGATGTTCTAAAAGTCGTTCATGGACTCAAACGTGGACGATGAGATTTTCGACACGATGCACTTCTGGAGTCTTCAAGGCTGTCGAACCCTTCGTCTGCCCAGCGATGACACCTATTTTTTCTTCGCAAGTCGCTTGCCTAGGTGTGGCCGTGTGCTTGCGAGTACTCATCGCCTCCTACTTCTTAAAAACAGGATTTCCATTTTTTTCAAGGCAAATGGTGCTGAAACTCGTTCGCGGACTCAAACGTGGACGATGAGATTTTCGACACGATGCATTTCTGGGGACTTCAAGGCTGCCGGACCCCTCGCCTGCCGATCGATGACGCCATTTTTTCTACAAATGTCGCTCGCCTAGGCGCTCGTGCTTGCCAGCAGTCGTCGTCTCCTTCCTAAAAACATTTCCAATTTTACATTTTTCAAGGCAAGTCCTAGACTAGTGCCCCGAAACACGGACGTTGCCGATTTTCCGACACGCCGCGTTTCCGAGGAGGAGTTGATGGCTGCCGAATCGCTCGACCGCCCAGCGAAGACGCCTCTTAGCCGCCTTCTTCCGCCCGCCTAGGTGTGTCCTCGGGAGTCCGGCTCGCGCTCCTTGCCGTCCGCGACCGCCTCCGCCGCCGCCGCCTGCAACGCGTCCAGCTCGCCGAGTAGTTCCGGGAAGCGGCGCGCGACGGTGTCACGCACGGTGCAGCGCTGGCGGCCGCCGCCGCGCCGGCCGTCCAGGTCGAGCGGGCGCGGCGCGCGGGCGAGCAGGGCGCGCACGGCGTCGGCGCCGCCGGGGGCGCCCGCCGCCGCCTCGTGCAGCGCCGAGAAGCCCTTGTAGCTGGGGCGGTCGGCGTCCGCGTCCGGGTGCGCCAGCAGCAGCGCCAGGCAGCGCTCGAAGCGCGCCGCCTCCTCGCCGCCGCCCGACGGGAAGTTGCGCGCCGCGTGGTGCAGCGCCGTGCGGCCCGCGCTGTCCTGCAACGCGCACGCCTGAGCGTCAGACTCTCTGGCAAGAGGTTCGAAGCTACGCTTTGGCGCTAACTGCCTGGATTGATTCAACACGCAACAAACATGAGCGTCAGACTCTCTGGCAAGAGGTTCGAAGCTACGCTTTGACGCTAACTACCTGGATTGATTCAACACGCCCACACAAACATGTGCGTCAGACACTCTGGCAGGGAGGGCAAGAGGTTCGAAGCTACACTTTGGCAGACTTTCAACACTAATTACCTAGATTGATTTAATACGCACAAAACAAACGTGTGCGTCAGACACTCTGTGAGGGTGGGCAAAAGGTTCAAAGCAACACTTTGACACTAACTACCTAGATTGATTCAACGCGAACATACAAACATGTGCGTCGGACACACTGAGAGGGAGGGCAAAAGGTTCAAAGCTACTCTTTGGCAGACTTTCGGCACTAACTAAATAGATTGATTCAACACGCTCAAACAAACATGTGCGTCAGACATTCTGGCAGGGAGGGCAAAAGGTTCAGAGCTACACTTTGACATACTTTTGGTACTAAGTACCTTGATACTCAACACGCACAGAACAAACATGTGCGTCAGACTCTCTGGCAAGGAGGGCAAGAGGTTCGAAGCTACGCTTTGGCACTAACTACCTGGATTGATTCAACACGCCCACAAACATGTGCATCGGACACACTGATAGGGAGGGCAAAAGGTTCAGTGCTACACTTTGGCAGACTTTCGGCACTAACTAAATAGATTGATTCAACACGCCCACACAAATATGTGCGTCAGACACTCAGGGAGAGCAGGAGGTTCAAATCTACACTTTGGCAGACTTTCAGCACTATCTTGATAGATTCAAAACGCGCACACAAACTTGTGTGTCAGACACTGGCAGGGAGGGCGAGAGGTTCAGAGCTACTCTTTGGCAGACTTTCGGCACTAACTAAATAGATTGATTCAACACGCAAACAAACAAACATGTGCTTCAGACTCTCTGGCAGGGAGGGCAAAAGTTTCGAATCTAGACGGTGGCAGACTTTCTACACTAGATTGATTAAGGGCGCATCAACTGCAACTGGCTAGTACGCGCGCGAGCTAGATCGCGATCGAGCGAGCGAGCTAGAACGCGTGTGAATTAGAACAAGTGCGAACTAGAACGCGAACGAGCTTGATCGCGAACGAGCTAGAACGAGAACGAGCTAGATCGCGAACGAGCTAGAACGCGCGCAAGCTAGAACGCGAGCAAGCTAGAACGCGTGTGAATTAGAACGCGCGCGAGCTAGAACGCGCGCGAGCTCGAACCCGCGAGAGCTAGAACGCCCGCGAGCGAGCTAGATTCCGTGCGAGCTGGAACGCTCGTGAGTTAGAACGCGTGTGAATTAGATCGCGAGCGAGCTAAGCGAGTGCGGGGGCGTGTCTCACCTGCGCGTTGACCTTGGTGCGCTTGTCCTTGAGCAGAAGCTCGAGGGCCTCGACGTTGCCGCGCGCGGCGGCGTGGTGCACAGGCTCCGGCACCACGTGGTTCACGTTGGGCTTGACGCGCGTCAGCAGCTCCTTGACGAAGGCGGCGCGCCCGCGGTGGCGGCACGCCACCTCCAGCGCCGTTCCGAAGTGCGGCTTGCCGTACTTGTGCACCGGGTCCACCGCCGCGTTGTGCAGCAGGTCGCGGAACTCCTCGAAGCGGTCGTCCAGCAGCGCCTGCAGCAGTTGCTCCTGCAGCGACGCCTGCGACGCCGTCGTCGTCGCCGCCGCCACCGCCGACGCCGCCCCCTCCGACTCCGACCCGTCGCTGCAGCTCATCACGCCTGCGCACACAACAGGTCGTGAGGCACATCCACCATCCACACAGACTAAACGTTACAAATTTCCAGGGAATGCGGGGGACTCGAAGATGATCTCGTTTTGCCAGTGAACACGTGGTGGCAATTTCATGTAACGAAGTTACTCGTGTGGCATGGACCTCTGATTGGTAGGCAACTTTTTATAGTATGACGTATTCAGTATTGCACTTGACGTAAATCAGCTCTTCACGGTTTCATCCAATCGGGAGTTTACATGACGCTATAGTGATGTCACCGTTGGCGTTCAAGCTCCCGGTTGAATGAAACAGTGAACAGCTGATTTACGTCACGTGCACGGTTAAATAAATCCTAGTAGACGCATTGGTGTTTGACTGGTAAACGACATCTCAATGCCAATACCGTGAACCAGCCAATCACTCCCGCACGATGGGTTGCCTACCAAACAGGGGCAACTGTCGCAACTGTAACTTCGTTATGTGAGCATGTTCATTGGCAACAAGTTATCATTAGGGAACGGATTTTCTTGTAAATACTATTTTTATAGGAACAACATACCTGATATCAATTTATTTTCGAGTTTACAAGACATTTTAAATTGAAACTATTTTTATTTTATATACTTTTACATATTTTGCATATTACTACGTATTTTGTTACATTTTAATACATTTATACATCGAAATGGAACATTTGAGATGCGAGTTGACAATATGTTACTGAAATCACCTTTCTAACAAACCAAAACACTGCGCTTGTTTAATCACCAGACCTTCATGAATAGTCAAACTTACTCCCCCACTCTGCCTGTTGAAAACCGGGTACTCGGGATCAAGGATGAATAGATGTACGTGAAGCAGAAGTAATTACAAGTACGGGAATGTTCTTTTTTCATAGACTCCATGCGTAACTCGATCAAAAACTAACAAACTTTTTAAGAGATCATCGTAGGCTTTCACGGCTGGAGTCAACCCAAGATAAATTTTCCGGGCTGGTAGGCCGTGGTCCAGTTGGCCTTCAAGAGCCAAACGTTTCGTCCACGTCTGCGGTACACTTTTCAGTGGCGACAGGGTCGCGGGAACACAGTTCGGGACGGCGCGCCGTCCGCTGCGGCGGCTGGCTGGCGACTGCCACCGCTCCGAACACAACCAGTGGCCGGCCAGCCGAAAGCTGGCTGGACAGTCGCCGGCCAGCCGCCGCCCCGAACTCTGCTCCGGCGACCCTGCCGCCACTGAAGATGTCCACCGCAGACGTGGACGAAACGTTTGGCCCTTCAATGCCAACTTGACCACGGCCTACCAGCCCGGAAAATTTATCTTGTATTTTTAGAGATCATTGTCATATCGCGTTGTTGGTGTAGGCCGGGGTGAGAATATGCACCCCTCCCTAGGGATGGCAAAAAACATCAATGTTTTTAAAACATCGATATATTCGACTGGAAACATCGATATATTAACATCCATTTTGTATTCAATGTTTAAAAAAATCTCATGATATAAATAAAATAGCAAGTAACTATTTTTTTTGTTAATTGCTCGAAACTGACAGCCACTGACATCTACCACTGTTGTCGATGCCCAGACGAGATTTCTCTTCTCGTTGGTTATTTTTGGGTGTTTGTCTAGGATGTCTCATTTTATCATAATTTTATAACAAAAAATTTATGTTTCTTGCGAAAAGTTGACGAAATTAAACGAAACTATACGGGCGATTCTCGAAACGGAATAAACTCTTGCCCTGTAGATAACTTAAGATGAGCAGAGATAAAGACGAAACTAATTGTTTATAATAAAATTTTGCAAACAGCGAACCACATATGATTTATCATGCTCAAACTATATTATTGTAAACCTCAAACTATATTTTCTACACTATGAAATAATCATGTGGTTTCCACATGTTCCCTATATGGTGAAATGTTCACTACTAAGATTAATGACTTAAGTATTTAAAAAATGAAAACAGAGACCATGTAAATATATCTTAATAAAATAAAATAAATATTTTATGAGGAGAAAGAATTCTGCGGTTTATTTGGGCTAGGTTTTAATCAAGATTACAGCACGCTTTTCGCAGCCAGGAAACAGCTCCAGATCTTCTAAAATTATTTGAAATATATGCATCGATCCCGGTTTTTAATGCATTTAGAATCATGAGAAATGTTTGGACCGTCAATCTAACTGAATGGAGGTTAAGTCAATTTGAAGCAAGCGGTGCATTTTCTGTAATATTCAGTACAGGTGTGGGTATGTTAAATAATTATTTAAGAAGCATACCAATATTCTTGTCCAAAAACGTCTTTCAACGTTTTATAGGTTTTGCGTTTGGAAATAATTATATATTTTTAAAGACATTTTTAGAAGATCATTCATACCGCATAGGAGGTAATTTTGCTCGAAAAAAGCCGCGCGAATTCCTTCCCAGTTGACCAAATGCTCATTTCTTTCGAACGAAGTTCTTTTACATCGATTGTCAACTGCTTTCTATTAGATCGGAGAGTCACTCATATATCGCGTCACCACCTGGGCGGCCGTGACGAAAGATATACTCATTGTCAGATTTCTCGGAATCCGACTTTTCCACGTCAGACGCGACGAGTTCGCATTGTCATGAAAATCGGAGGAGCCGCGAGCAGTGTCGAGGCGATCGTGCACGGAAGTAACCATGACAATCTCTTCAATACTCATTGTTTCTTTCGGCAAAGTAATAATCTTTGTCAATTATGTTCGTTTCTTTTCCAGAACTCTCTCCTCTGATGAGAACAGGCGATGTTCGTTGCAGTTTCTGCTAATGCTCTCCCAATTCGTCAAAGTCAAATATTTCTCCCAGGCAGATTATTTTGTCGGGTATAATTTAGGATACCTTTTTTTCATATAATCGTTTTTCCTATTGTGTAAAGAACTCAGGCGCGGATCCACGGGGAGGGAAATGAGGGAAATTTCCCCTTTAAATTTTTTTTCAGTAACTATTGATTTTAACTTGTCGCAAACTTTCAAGGAAAAATATTTTCTGATAATCATTAAAACTAATAAAATCGAATCGCATGAGCTCAGAGTAGCCTGCGACATTTTACAAAATCTGTAATATGACAGTCGACCAAAACATTTTGAATGTCCCTCCCAATTTTTTTCTTTGGATCCGCCCCTGAAATAAAGTTAGTGTTTTCATAACAATGACAGTTTTATTCCAACCTTTCTGAACTTTTGTACAGATGACCTACAAAACAAAACTAAAGTTACCATTAACGTGACTTTTCTTACAACTACTCGATCATCTTTTTTTTCTCCCTTGAAATAAAATTTAAGTATACAATCTTTCAGCTTTTCGCCAATATTTTGAAACACGCCAGAGTAAATTAAAAGTTTCTGAAAAATATAGGGACCACTTTACTTCCAATTTTAAAGCATACCACTTGTATTTAGAAATTGTAATATTTTAGTTGCACTTTCATCCCAAGTTCGTGGGTAAGCTTAATAATAATAAAAATAATAATAATAATAATAATAATAATAATAATAATAATAATAATAATAATAATAATAATAATAATAATAATAATAATATATTATGAATAAAAATGCAGGTATTATTTGGAGACTCGCTGCTGGTTTGCTGTTTATAAACTTAAATCAATGTTTCTATTCAAGAAGGAAGGTTCACCCCAAAAGGAATTTATTGTTGTTAGACTATAGTGTATTCATCAACAGATTTTTCATTTTTTTAAAACAATTTTCTAGATGGTAGCGATCGCACTCATGATTCCACAGTGCACAGATGCATTTTTCACTAAGCTCATTGTACACACTTTATGGTGAAATTATGTATTGCATAGCATGCCACAATGTCTTTATTAGTCTTTTCCCAGCTGCGGTCGAGAATGAAATGCGCTGGTGTTAAACTTTAATCCATATAACAGAGCATTACGTACCGCAGAACTACGCGAACGACTCCACCCAGCCGCTCGTCGGGTAGGAAATGCTTCACCTACACAGTACTCATGATAAGTGAGTGATAGCCACTGATAGTACACGTTGAAGAAGGTGTGAATGGATTTCGCGGCAAACGCGTAGATGCCGTTGAAACACACTAGAATGCCAAACCGCGAACCTAGCGGTGATAAGTGATACTAACGCTGTAACTTATGATATTCTTACAAAATGTCTTCCGTTGGATGTGTGTTTTTATTTAATGCGGTTTTTCTGCGAGGAAATAAGGCCTCACGGTCGACTGGATGACGTAGTCCCACCGCTTCCAGGATAAACATTCACGAAGAAATGACACAGGATCGGAGAAATGAATTATTACATCAATTATGTGGTGGAAAAGCAACGTAAATTAATTATTTCTTTCAAAAAAGTAAAGCTTAATGCTTTGCATTTTTTTAAACTGCTATTTTTTCCTTTTAGATTACATAAAACATAGGATATATTTCTACTTTATTTTCATTGTTTTAAAAAAAATTGTAAGTAAGTTTTCTAAATAACTTCGTATCCAATGGAATGAACTGTTAATGTAGTAAGTATTCTAAATAATTTCGTAACCAATGGATTGAAGTCGAGTACGACTTCTTGTCGACTGCAAACAACAAGCACTTATTCACACCTACGTGTGTAATTCGGGAGGGAAGGAGTGGAAGAAAATGAATGAACGAATGAATGATGAATGAATGATAAATGAATGATGAATGAATGATGAATGAATGATGAATGAATGGATGAATGAATGAATGATGAAAGAATGATTAATGGATGATGCACGAATGACGATTGAATAATGGATGAATGACGAATGAATGATGAATGAATAAATGATGAATGAACGATGAATGATGAATCGCGCCAGTCCGCTTCACGAAAGACTCACCAAAAACAGCAGGCAGAATGTGGAGCATGTCGCTGCACTGAAGTGTTCCTATCTTGCGAACGAACTGGCTCCTTGCGGGCAGTCACGAAGGCTTAAAAGACAACCGCGATTGCAATGATTAACGTCCTTGTGATGATTACGATGAGAGATTTGTGCTCTCTTGCGTGTGACAATGAAAGTTCGCTTTTGGGGACGATCGTTTGTGACGCACGTGAATGACGTGCTGAAGGACGCAGGAAGGGAAGGACTTTGGCGTGTGGGGAATTTCCGGAAACGGGATGCGTGTTTGGGTGGGAGACAGATAGAAAGAGAGAGAGGGAGAGAGAGAGACAGATAGATAGACATAGACAGACAGACAGACAGAGACAGAGAAAATGACTTACCGTTGGCGCAGTGGCGTGGTCGTGAACAAGCAGAGATGCTAGCAGGATGACTGTAGGCGACAGTAGTCGAGGCGAAACAAAACACGGCGTTGACGACGATTCCAGCGACACAGCGCTCGCAGGCCGAAGCGGGCCGAACACTTGCGACAAGAATCAGGATAACGCGATGCGATT